TGAGTCGGCCCGCCGGGAGTTCGGCCCTTCCGCCGACAACTACAGGGGTGGGTCACCTTCATTTTGGTGTCGGCGGGCGGCAGGCGGCTGCCAAGCCGTGCCCGCCACATCCCCGCTGCCCTGGCCCGCCAACGCGCGGCCCTCTCCCCACCCCCTGCCGAGCGTGCTGGGCTGGGCTGGAACGCTGCAAGGCGGGCGCGGGTCCCCCTCGGCCCCCGCCCCTCTCTTGACGTTCGGAATGGTTTCCGAGTGCCGCCCCCCTTTTGCGGCCTTCCCCTCGCGACGGCTGAGCCCCCTGCGGTTCTTCTCCCCTCGGCCACGTTTCGCCGGTAGCGCGGAGTTAGATCCCGGGTGTGCACACCCTTGCGGCGAGAAAGGAAAAAACCCCCCGGCAATCCCACGCCCCTCCTCCTGCGGAGCCCACGGGTGAGGCAGGTTGAAAAGGAGCCTGTGCCCCACTGCCTTGGCAGCCCCGCCTGTCCCGGCCGGCTGGCTGGCTGGCCTGCCTGCGCCCGCGCCCCTCTCCCCCCCCCCCCCCCCCCTCTGTCCTCCTCGTCGCTGCACGACCACGATGGCGATAGAGAGAAGGGCTCGCGCCCGGGAGGGAGCTCGCCGCGGCCGTTGTTCTGGTCCGGCGACGCTGTCGTCTCCCTCCCCTGTGTGCGGCGCACCCTGAGTCGAGAGAGAAACGACCCCCAACAACCAGCCATCGAAAAGAGTGCGGCCCCCCCTTTATTTGAAATGCCCCCCTTCCTTCGTCCCCATCCCTTCCTGGTGTGGCTTCTGGCCTCAGCAGCGGGAGAGCGGGGCGAGAGTCGTCGGGCTTTTCCGGGGGGGGGGTTTTGCCATGTGAAAAGCCAAAGTAACAATAACCGGAGAGGTCGAGAGAGAAGTGAGAGGAAGAAGGAAGGCAGGCAGGAAGGCAAGACCGCAGCGGAAGAGCGGCGGCGGCGGCGGCAGTGCCTCCCCCGTAATGGGGCAGCGCTGCTGCTGCTGCCGCCCCCCCGCTCGAGAAAGCTACTATCGTCTCCCTCCTCCTCCTCCTCCTTCTTCTTCCATGTCCTCCTCCTCCTAATGTTGTTCATATGACGACGACCACGCTAGTGTGCGTTGTTGCTTCTACCTGGTTGATCCTGCCAGTAGTCATATGCTTGTCTCAAAGATTAAGCCATGCATGTGTAAGTACAGGCCGACTTAAGGCGAAACCGCGGACGGCTCATTAAATCAGATATAACTCATTGGATCTCTGCTGAACCGCAATACTTGGATAACTGTGGTAATTCTAGAGCTAATACATGCCTTTGTAGTCTCCGACCGCGAGGGAGGAGCGCTTTTATTAGACAAAAACCCTCGGCAGCCGGTTCCCGCAAGGGGCAGGCCGCACACATCTTGGTGAATCAGAATAACTTTTGCCGAGCGCACGACCCCTCCCGTAACCCGGGTTGGGTCGGCGCCGCGTCCTGCAGGCGTCTGCCTTATCAGCTCTCGATTGTAGGTTAAAAACAGTGGCTATCACGGGTAACGGGGAATCAGGGTTCGAAGAGGAGCCTGAGAAACGGCTACCCATCTAAGGAAGTTTCCCTCAGGATAGCTGGCACTCGCATCGAACGAGTTCCATCCGGTAAAGCGAATGACTAGGGGTGTTGGGGACGAAAGAACCTAGAATGTAATAGTCAGAAACTCCGTGCTGATGCTGACAGACGAAAACATTAAAAACATTCCTTACTGAAGTGCTAAATGACATTATAAACATAAATTCACTGAACAGCTACCTAACCGAGACTAAATATCCATTATGCAGAACTCAAGCTCACAGGGCAGGACAATAAAACTTCTTTTTCTAACTTATTATTTTTATTATAGGCTTTAGATCGATCCGCGCGACGCCAGTTAACACGTTGGCGCCATTGTTAATGTTCTTTATGTTATTCTACTTTTATGGAAATATACATTTATTAAACGCATGTCAGCTGGCAAGTATCATTGTAAATATCATTTTATTTTATTTTCCTATACATATGTATTTAATAAAAGTATGGCTCAGTTAACACGTTGGCACCGTTGTCAATATTATTTCTTTCTCTCTGTTTGTTCGTAAACACACACACACACATACACACACAACACAAATACACACACACATACATACAAACACAAACACACACGCATACATACAAACACAAGCACACACATGCATACAACACACACACATACAATCACACACACACATCACACACACATACAATCACAAACACACACACATGCAAAAAAAAAAAAAAAAAACACACATACAAGAACAAAACACACACAAACACACATACACACACACAAAACACACATAAACTCACACACAAACACACACACATACACAAACACAAAGACACACACACACACACACACACACACACACACACACACACACACAAAGACACACACACATTTCGATTAACAATCCCTTGATTCTATGACAAAAATTAACTTGTTCTTTTTAAGTCAACGT